AGAAACGTGTTTGGTTATTATTTGGTCATTATTCGGTTATTTGGTCTTTATTTAAACATTATTTTGTGCTTATTCCATTAGTGTGTTATTACTGCAGCATCGTATTGCCATTGTTTCATTATTCCAACTTTATTTCATAATTATTTCATTATTGTGTAATTGTTACAATATTATTTTGTCATTGTTTCATTCTATTACATACGATTCGGGTATTTTCACGTCCAAATGTTGACATTCGGTTCGCTTGACTTGCGATTACCTCAACATTCGGTTCGCTTGACTTGCGATTACCTCAACATTCGGTTCGCTTGACTTGCGATTACCTCAACATTCGATTACCTGACCTACATTAGCTGACCCCGCTATACATGTAATATTCAATCCATAGTCCCGGGCCGCCTCCGATAAAGCGTTGCTCATGATGGCAATGTAGCCTTTGTAAAAGTTAGCGGGAATTTCTGAATGATGGCCGTTTCATCAACATCCAGGGAACTGACTGAGGTCGTCAGAGCCTGTCGTGACGAAATATCAAATGCCGCAAAACTTGTTGTTGACACGACGCGCTCCTAGCGAAATTCGCGAGAGATGATCCGACTTGATCATTATATGATGACCTGAATGTGCTAAGAACGGTTCACAAGACTCGTTACCATGTCGTGAACTTGCGAAATTTGAAAGAGCAACTAATATTCTTCAAGCTGGTATTTTTATAGATTTTATTTTTCATTCTTTTCGCCTATTTTTCCAGTTTAAAAATGTGAGGAGGCTGGAGCCTTTATCCCTTGTCTATTTCTAATACACCAGATACCAGCCGATAACGCCCCCTCCCCTCGCTCATAGGTATTGCATACAATTTATTATAGTTACTGGGCTCCCTGTGGTCTAAGCTGTGAAAAGTGAAATTAACAATTCGTTTCTGGTGACGAGGCAGCTCGTTGGAACTGGCGCCGGCATTACTAATGTATCACAATCATGCAGGACTGTGTTACAATGATCAGGTGCAGTCAATGGAGCTGTTCATCGGAAAAGCTGGTCCAAGGGATTTTTGTTGAGGGCAGGGGATTTTTTCTATTTTTTGTAGGGGGTGGGAAATATCAGTAAACCCCCCCCCCCCCAGTGGGCAGGGCAGATTTCTTAAAAAAAATGGAAGATAATGGTGGCTCTGAAAAGGACCGTTTAGTTTAGTTTCGTTAGAAAACGATATGAATTTACTCCAATCTATGACCCACGTATGTGTGTGTGTGTGTGTGTGTGGGGGGGGGGTCGATCCTCTTAACAGTGAAACTAAAACGGGCACGTAAAAATTACAACTCAACCTTGATTTATTCTTCAATAACATACATACACAGTGGCAGCGGCAGCGGTCGCCCCACGAAGAAAATGTTAGGGGCGTCGCCCCTCCAAAATCAAGCGGAAACCCTTTGTGTCAGCAAACCCCCCCTCCTCCTAATGCAGGAAATAGTGTTTTAGATTGTCTAGATCTCGCCCCGATGTAAAATTTCGTGCCCCCCATCTGAATTTTAGATGTGCCAAAAATGTACAACGTTGCCATAGATCTCGTCGAGTAACAATTTTTAGGGCGGAGGCGTTCTCATTGACCTAATATAAATACGATGTTTACTCCGATGTTCGAACAAATATTGGCCAAATTAATGCTCGGTGTGCTTACTTGTAGTTTCCTGTAGGATTACATGCATAAAATGAAATACGGAGAAAACATATGGTTATGAAGTGATGATTCTAAGAAGTATACTGTC